AGTGGGGGGGCACCTGGGGGGGGGCACAGAAAATTTGTGGGGGAGCACGTGCCCCCCCCCCCGTAGCTACGCCCCTGATTCGCGTACAGCACGGCAAACTGCATTGCAGTCACTGCAGTGCCCCAAACTTCGTGCACTCAGGATTGAGCTAGACTGGTACTCGCTCCCACCTCTCGGCTTAGTTACTTGCTGGAACTCCCATCGAGTAAACCAGAACTAAGCCGAGAGGTACCAGTCTAAGGATTGAGCGAGAGCGAGAGCGCCATCTGTCGTGGAGTTTCACAGCACGGTAGTGTCAATGGGAAGAAGCGAGAAAGTTATCATAAAGACGTTTAGATTATCTTTGTCTCTGTTCTAAAGCAAGTGGAAGTGATTCGTAGGTTATTTATTAGCCTAACTATATTATAGTTAGTTAAAGTACAGTTCACTTAAGGAAATCTCTATTACTAAGTAACTCTAGCTTAGTAAAGTAGCTAGTAAAGTAAGCTAGCTCTAGACTCTAGTAACTATAGCGCGCGTACAATGGCTTGCGGCTGCGGCTTGGCTATAGAACCACTCAACCTGCGGTACTCAAGGGATGCGCGGTACCAACTTAGTCTAGCTATGGTCTAGCTCTAGTAAGCCTAGTACTAGTAGTAGTACTAGTAGTAGTAGTAGGGCCTAGTACTATAGCCCGCTTGCATTAACTGCCGCTGGCGTTGTCAAGTAACAAATTAATAATACTAATAATAGTAATACTAATAGTAATACTAATAGTAATAGTGTTATAAATAGTAATTTGTTCATCTTACATGACAAAACTAATATTACAATCTGTTTTGATCGCTTAATTTGTTACTTGACAACAACAATGTTTTTGTCCACAACAGTGAAAAAAATACACGGGGGCCTGGGGCGATTTAGCCCCCGAAATGCCAAAAAGAGCCCCGGAAATGCCAAAAAGAGCCCCCGGAAATTTGCATAGAGTTCAATGCAAACCAAATTTTAGAGTGCTATTTTCATGCATGCGAGCTTAAAAAGTAGCCCCCGAAAAATAAATTTTACTTTTTTTTT